TTTAGTACCAAAATAGTCCTCAAACATTGAAAATATTACTAATTTAATCCTTAAACTTTAAAGACAAGTATCATTTTAGTTCTTGAACTTTGATTACAAATATTAATTTGGTTTTCAACTTTAATTATATATCAATATGATATATAAATAGAAATATATCACAATGATAAAATGCGACTATTTGATTTTACACATTATTAGTATTTTAAAAAATTTGATTTTATGATAAAATAACAAATTACGTGACACTTATATCAACGAAATGACTTTTTTGATATTAAAAATTAAAATCTAAGAACAATTTTGATATTTTTTTTGTAGTTGAGGGACAAATTTGATACAAGTTTAAAGGTTAAAGATCCAAATTAGCATTTTAACCAATATTTTATTTTAACTATATATTTATTATTTTATTTTGATTTAAATTCTTTAATTAAATAAAAATATTATCCTCCTATCATCTATTTTTATCCATCCAAATAAGATTAACACTAATTCTTTCCTTTCTTCACTTTCCCTCCCTTTTTCTTTTGTTTACTAATTTTTATTCAAATAGATTGTTATGACTTATTTAGTTTGAGGGGAGGTGATGGGAGGAGATAAAAATTTCTATTTAGATAACAAAAATTGAATGAAAGGAGAGGGCAGAGGAGGTAAAGGGTGGGCAAAACCCCCAAATCCATTTTGTAAATGGGTTGGTAGGAACAGACTCATCTTTTAAAAAGTGTAGAGACAAGCTATTTTTTCAAATTATAAATCAAAACAAATCACTTATTTTTAACGAAAAGCATTAGTATTCTATTTGCGACGTTAGTATTTTTTAATGGAAAATATTTAAAAATAGGTGATTTGTCTTGATTTATAATTTGGAGAAATAATCTGTCTTTATATTTTTTTGAGAAGTGAATCTATTTCTGCTGATCTATTTTAAGGATGGATTTAAGGATTTTAGCTAAAGGAAGGAACTTTTCTTTATTTTCTTCTGTAATTTAAGCATAAGTGAGGGAATGAAAGGTGAGGAGAACAAAGGGAAATGAAAGGATATTGTCTCGCTTTCTCCTTTCTCTTTGACCCTCAAACCAAACAAGGGGTTAAGCTTTGTTTATGAATATACCATATGGTGCTTTGAGTTCGGATTTTTTTCTCTTTTCACAATCCTAAATATGTATAAAATATTAATTCAAATAAATATTAAATATATTAAAATATTACACATATTTACGTATTTAAGAATATATAAATATAAATTGTTTACATAAAACCTATTATCATATAAACAATAGGATGTAGAAAATCTAAATATCCTAAAATTAAAAATATCAAAATCTCCAACTATATTTTCAACTTCTAAGTTTACTGTACAGTTGAATTTGAAAATTCTCATAGTTTTAATTTCAAGACGTATTGAATTTTTTTTTTCAATAAATAAATTAATTTAGTTGAAAAAAACCATCAATCAATTAGATGATAATTAAAATTTTGAGAAAACAAAAAAAATTAAGTGATAATTCAATTTAACCAACTATAATAGTGAATTCAATCAAAGTACATTCTTAC